ATTACTTGCTTAAAATTCAATGGCATTTAAAACTGCAGCCATTTTTATTCCTATATTGCTATTAAGTCTCGAAATAACAAGAAAACTGTCTCGTTATAACGACATAACTAATTCGTTATAACGAGATAACTAACTCGTTATAACGAGATACTAACTCGTTATAACGAGATAACTAACTCGTTATAACGACATAACTAACTCGTTGTAACGAGATGACTATCTCGTTATAACGAGTTAATTTTTTTTTTATCTTGTCAAAAATGAGCCTATCCGGCTTTCGTAAATATTCGGTGAAATCAGTTTTAAAAAAATTCTATATTTCAGGTTCATTTAATAACAACTTCGAAAGACATACTAGAAACAAAGTTGGCAAAGCAGATGGACAGATGATTCAATGTCGATGAAGTTATAATGGTTCTTAGTCCTTCACAATCCCAGAAGAAAGTTTAAACATGGATCTTTCTGTGAATTAAAAACAATTCAAGAACAAGAAGCGTTTGGCGACCAAGATCCCCATTGTATTAATTTCATTTGTTTTTGGTTATGATACAAGATTCTAATTTAAGATATCTCTATTGAACAAATATTATATATGTTTTTGGTTATTTTACAAGAATCTTATTTTAAATTTTTTATTCAACAAATACAATGTATTAAAGTACTAATCAAACTGTTCTTAGTTAAACACCAAGTCCAAATAGTTTTTCTTATTTGATTAAAAAGTTTGGGATGACCATCTTCAATAAAAAGTTAACAAATGAAATCACACAACGTTACAGATTACACAAACGTTGCTTTTACCGAGAAGAATGAAAAAAAGTCAATGTTCAGCAACAGGAAAATGAGCCAGCGTTGCTTTTTTAAGGAGTTGCTCGTATATAATGGGCGAAGAATTATTATACTGTATTTGAATTCTATATATAGGCATAGGAAGCCCGTATCTTAATAAAAATAATAATAAATTGTTATTTAAAAAAGCGTCAACTGTATATCAAATTTCAGATCTTCTCCTCAAATCAGTTTGTTTTCAGAGCATTACGTATATATAAGTATCAAAATAGTGAAGTAATTTCCTGTTATTCTATTTGTTGATGTACCTTCTAGTACTCGCTTATTTTGGAATTGGAAAATAGGATTCACAGAGGAATGCCACGTAGTAAGTGCAATTAAAGAATTATCTCAACCTTTTTTCACCCATATAATATGGTCACACCGGCAGTCTCCTTGCAAATCCCTTTTTACCAAGAGGTTATCCAGCTGCTGTGTTTATCACACAACTTATATTTTCCAGAGATTTTAGTTTTCTACAGGGATACTGTACCCTTTAAGCACATCATAGTAAGAAAATACAAGCATATATCTTGATATTAGGAACACCTTTTGACCACAAAATCTCTTTCAAATACATATTTGCCAAACCTACGAACTTAGAGAACAAAAATAACTTCGACCAAACAAAATGTTGGCACTGTTTACAAGCGCACTGAACAAAAAACTTCCAAAGTATAAGATCAGGCGAGAATTATCAGCAGTTATGAATGAGTTCTTTGCTTAGCGGAATCCCTAAATTTGGCTCAGATGGTATAGACTTATCACAAGAAATTACGTTAAGAAGTACACTGACATAATTCCAGAACAATAAAACAAGGAGGGGATTTCTTTGCAAAAGAGAAAACAGGTTGTTATTATTGGCGTTCATTACGTTACGCAACCCCCTTACAACCTCCAAAGTCATAGCATACGGTACCATATGAACTCTATGGGGGTGGAGGAGGCGAATTTAAATCTGAATAATACAAGATAACCTTTTTGCTAAAACTTAGTACGATTTCGTCCTTTGATTCAACTGATATGCTGCCAGTTTCTTAATAAATAAAACAAGTACAGCTATTCTTTTCAGTGCAATAGGTAAATCTGTTATATAGCAGGAGTATTTGTGAATGATTTTTTCAAAACACTTTTTTGTTAAAAAAAGACACACTATGTAACACTATCTAACACTAAATACATACCATATATGAAACATCGTACTTCGAATATGGTTACGTGCGTACATCAAGGTGAACTTTAGTTATACTATGGCAATACAATACATCAAATATGATACAGCGATACTTAGAAAGCCTTAAGAATAATCCACAAATGTCAAAATCGTCTTTCCATATCGTAGAGGACAAAGTTAATTGTTGGTCGAACGTTATTTCACCCCATTCTTGTCAAATATAATAGTCCAATTCGTAGTTGTAAATGGAGGATATAACATTCAGGTGGAGATGTGTCAATGCTCTCATTTGGGTGTTTTCTTCTTAATTTTTCGTCAACAGATAGTGCAATCCTGGACAGACTTGTAGTGGAGGTTGTTGCTTTTACTGATTAACTAACCGTTAACCTCTAATTTAACACATATAACTACCAGATTAATTATCTGAACTTATAGGTATTCCATGTTATGTACTAAGGACGTATTGCCCTGCAACTGTTTCAAGTTTACGTTGAAAGGTACGTACGTATGTGTTAAAATTTCCTGTCAGTTGAGCAAACATCGGACTTCAATCTTACCCGAAGAGCTAACTTCTTAAATATGTATTTCAGACAAAATGATGTCATGACTTCTGTCAAACTAAAAAGGTACTGAGAGTGCTTTATAAGAAGATGGTTCCATGAATTAATTTAAGCCAAGTTTCAGCATGTTGTAGTAGCACTAAACGGTTTTATTGACTGCAAATCATATATATGCAATCATTGATCATATCCAAACTACGTAGAGTACAAGACATTACCACACACGGTCTGTACTAAAGCTTCCAATGACCTATCCAAAGTTATATGCAGCACCAGACTAACCTCATGTCATTTGGGATTTTTGTTTCTTCAGTCAGCAATGTTTTTACCGAAAGTTTATTTTTCTAAGTTCTGTTCTCTCGTTGTTCTCGGGTGCACGGGGAATTGGAAACTGTTTTATTTTTGGATTGGAAAAAGTGGAATTTGGCTTAAACAGGTGTCTTCGCCGCTTTTTCTCTCTTCGTCGACTTCGTTTTCAGTACATGCAAGTAAACGAGTCACGGCATTGAACCGTGTTCTTTTTTTTTACGGAACCACGCCGTACCATCATTTTTCCAGATGCAATGTCATATTGGAGGTGGGTGCAAATATGCTTGGTATTCGTACTCCTGACACGGTATTGTGTATCCCCTGAATCAATGAAATGAAACTAAGACTGTATATTTTCAATAGAGTTTGATATGCAGTTCTTACATTTTGTTTTCGTTTTCCTCCCAAAAATCAACATTTGACCCATTTATTAAGAAGAAACGAAAATAAGTGAATAGTGGAAAAAAATAATAAAAAGTGGTAATAAACCAATCAACCTTTGGGTCCGGTGTAATAATCTGTTATGTAGTTCAACAACCTTATTAGATCAAGAAACTCTTAAGTTAACCTTTCCTTCCCCTCCCTGTATTACATCATAGTATTTTACAGAAGGATGCCTGATTAGGAAAATCTGTTTACTTTGTACAAGTAGCAGACTGACGCATGATGCTAAATGGCCTGACAAATTAAATATCGTGTCCACTTCAACGCGCGTGTCAGCGCGGCAATCTGAGTTGAAAAGAAATGATACTGGCCATTACGAGCGAAAAACCGCCCCGAGTCATGTGACACAAACACTGGCGAGAGTTTGAACGTGGCTAGGTCACTGAGTGCAACCTTGTACAAGAAATTCTTTGATTCAGTAGAAATACATGCATTGAAGTAATAATACTGAAAATAATTTTTTTAAAGATCAATAAGTGCTCCTTTAAAGCCATTAAAGTGTAGTTTTATTCTCTAATGATCTATGCAGAAAATCGATATCACGACAAATTTTTCTTGATCACAAAAGCGCAGATCGTAATTCACTTACGATGGTACTGTTGTACTTCTTCACCCCAAACAATAAAGTATTTCTGTACCCAAGATATCATTAAAATATTTATGTAGCATAAATCTGACTTTCAATTTCTCTATGGAAACAATCACTCTCAACAAATTAGCTTAAGAAAACGCACCCTGCAACCTCTGAGTTGCAATATGTCGCTCAGATTAACATATCTCTACTAACATATTTTTATATTTGCTTAATGAAAAGATGGTTGCAGTATAGATTAAAGTAATATAATTTCAGGATTAACCTATGCATATGTGTGTAGAATTTGTTGGAATGAAACTACCAAAACAGAGGAAATCCCAAATAAACGGCAAAACATTTTAATCTTTAAATATATTGTCTTCTACTCTCACTTTTTTTAATTTAATTTTTTTTTTTACAAAAAAAAAAATATCATCTGAGTTTGGTTGTTTTGTATAGTAATAGAAATTCCCAATTTAGAAATAAAAGAATGAGACCAAGTAGATTTCAAAGACTTAATTAAAGATGTATAATTAATCATAATTTACTTTCCTTTGATAATTTTAAAAATAACTACTTCACACTTCCTTGAACAATTAAACGTATAAAACAAAATAATAAATGCATAAATTATCAATAAAACACTGCGGATTTTTATTTAAGCAGGTTAAATCCATGTGAAAGGTTTAAAATAATTTTTTTTTCATTCATGTTGATCGCTGGATAATCTTAAGCTGCCACTAGTAAAGAAATCAGTGGCAAAATGACAAGAACCGGGGATAATGCTACGTGAATGAGAGATTTTGTGGAAGAAAGAAAAAATCGGAGTAAACTCTATTCAACACAGGAAGGTGGATATTTTACTCGCACGAATGCCTGTATAACGACCAATCATATCTGCCCCAGCTGACAAAAATATTTCTCCAGCCAATCACGGCACACCAATGACATTCCATACGTGGCTTTTTTGCCTGTTTACCCTTTTGGCCCTGCCCCATTTCCAACTTATGAATGAGTGAAAAAGCCGCTCGTACGCTATAAATAGACGCCACTGGAGTCTTTGCGTACAGTATATGTATTTCGTATCGATGAAACGCATGGCGGAGTAAATACCTTCTGTTGTGTATGTTACAGGTGCAATCAGATTTGCTCTATGTAACATTTCTTGTTTCATTTGGATTTTTTATGCACAGGTAAGATAAATAGGTGAAATTTACACTGCAATGTGCAGCTCTGTGTGTGTGTGTTTTTAAATTTTTGTTGAATAAATGTAAAGACCAAAAAGTTTTAAAGAAATCTTTTTTTGAAATTTTATCTTCTCTGTGAGATATAAATATATATGTTGATCATTGATAAAATATATTTTGTAATACAGCTATTAAATTTGATGTTTCTGGCCAGCTCTTTCTTTACCTGATAAGGTGTATTCTAAGAAAATAATCCTAGATGCAAAAGTTTTAAATCTGGATAAGATCATTATAAAAAATATATATATTATTTGCGACAGAAACATGTAGCACTAATTAAAAAAAAACCCACATCTAATTTAGAAAAAGAATTGAAACTTGCATATCAATGTAGGGTAGTCAAACAATGTGAGCTTTTTTTTTACTTTTTACAAATTGATATTTGCGACTATGAATTTACAAAACATGTACTTGAGAACGATATTGACAAAATTTTATAATATTATTTAATGTAATGCTAATTAAAGACAAAAAGCATACAACTTGAAAAAAAAAGAATTGAAACTTGTATATCAATGTAAGATAGTCACACAATGTGAGGGTATTATTTACAAATTGATATTTGTGACTATGAATTTACAAAACATGTACTTAAGAACGATATTGTCAAATAGAGCACATTGCCACAAGTTATGCGACCACGGTTCCCTTATCAAAACTATTTATATCAAAAGTTTACCACGGTGCACTCGAGGAAAGGTAAATGAGTAAAAGCAATAAAATGAAAGTTGGGTATCTGGAACACATTGTCTCTTGAACAATGAAATTCTCACTTTTAAGAGCAAAAAAGAGCGAAGACAATTTTTTTTTGTTTTCAAAGGAAACTTTTGAATGCTGAAAATAGTGAAGTGCAAACTTTCTTTTTGTATATTATCCGGGATAAAATATTTAAAAAATATCAAAATTTGTCTAATTTATGATGAAAAAAAAATTCTCAGTTTTCAAAATTAAACAGATACTTGTTACATTGTATTAAAAAATATGATCTGTGAATAGGTGAATTAATTATTTTCGACAAAAAGAAAAAAATGCAACAAACAAAAGTTCAAAAACTCATACTATTTAAATACTTTTGATCACATCGAAAGACAAATATACGTATCCATAACCTGTCACTTATTGGTCCCTAAGAAAATAAACGGATAAAAGATATATTGCGGTTTTAATGGGTGTATGCAAGTTAGGTTTTAAGCATCATTTGCTATTATCGATAAAACATTTATCTAAGCTTTTTATGTCACCAAAGAAGTGTATAAAATCAACACACAATTAGGAACAATTAAAGAGATCCGAAGCCGAAAAAAGAACAAGCGACGAAAAGCCACCTTAGAGTTCATTAACATATATATCTACTTTACACTTAGTTTTTAAATTGTGGTTGCATTATAGACCTGTAACACTCATTTTTACCTTTACCTGCTTATTGTAAACGCTTCGTGCGGAAGCACTGGGACTATATAAAGCATTTCATTGGCACAGTGTGGCACACGGCTCTCGTAAGCCAAAGAGAGAGGGAGATCCACTAGTGTCTCATCCAAACTATGCATCAATGAAAACTGGATTATTTCAAAGTTGAATTCATCTCTGCAATTTTTTTTTTTAATTTCAGAATTCATTTCTGTTGGATTTGTTTGGAATTCATATTTCACTGAATTTAATCCTTGGAAGAGCAAAGGAAAAATATTAGTAAAAAATTGACAATGGCAGAACGTGCTGTGCAGAAACTTTTTTCGAAGAGTGTTGCAGCAAAAAAACTTCTCCAAAGTCAAAATAGGAATTGTTATACGGGTGTATCTCAAAATGTGTCAGCTGTTAGACTTATTGCTGAAGCTGTTGCTGATCGAACGGACACAGCCCAAAGTGTAGTAGAACCTAAGACACTTGATGATTTACCAGGGCCCCGGGGCTACCCCGTAGTGGGGACGGCCCCGGAATATTTCAGGAAGGCCAATAGGGGACAAATGCACGAAGTACAGGTAAGCCATTTTTTCATTGCATACCTTGTATCGTCAACGTTTTATTATCATCTCCCAACATGGAAAACAAATTCTGTTTTCCAAAAAATGTAAAGAATGAAAAAAGTAAGGGAAATTTACAAAACTAGCTGTAAAATTCAAAAATCTTTGTACCATCGCGCTGAAAATCCATTCAGTTATCTTCCAAAAGTAATGAATGGAATCTAGTAATTGAGGTGATTATCTCGGGGAATTCAGCTGAAGCCTAGTTTTGTTGAGGTGAGCGTCGGATCATTGCACCCTTTGACGTTCGGATAGGGTCCTGTCACGCTGTATAGTGTTTACATCGCAGGAACTTCGCTGCTGGCCTTTTAACATCTATGATCTCTGATGAAGTTGTCAGTTCTACTTTGTATTTCAAAGGAGAAAGTATAACCTAGATATTTTTTATGCATGTAAAAGACAACGATATCGTAGGAGGCCGATGACCATTTTGCGTAGCGCAGGGATAATGCAATCCCTAAAATATGTGTAATTTATTTGCATATGTAGGCATAACCACCCCAAGAATTCTAGCAATCCGCAAATTTTGAATAGATTATTCTTAAAATTAATTTATAGTCTTTAAAACGAGGGCGATACATCTTCATCCACTATCTCCGCGTGGGATCATTTATATGTCTGACCGCAAACAGAATTTATCCGTTTATGTGTCTAAGCTAACAAGATGTCAGAACTTAAGGGCTAAAGGGAAAACTTTGTGTTTTTTCTGTACACACTTCAGCTTATATTCAATATTTACTCCTTGACCCCGTGCTTTCTTCCCAGTGTACGCGCACCCAACTTGCATATATAGAATGTCACAAAAGATTTTAAAAGGATAGTGACGGTATTGTAAATGTTGCGCAAGAATGTCATCGATTGCTTCGCACATAAGTTGTATATATCTTTATTGATTACTAGCTAAGGAGTCAACAAGTACACCCAGAAGAATGTTGTATTGTTCATAAATGTCAGAGGCTGCAATGTAGTAGGATGAATGATTTTCCCGGCATTATCAGTTTTCTGTTCTTGTTCCTGCATTTATTTTTTCCAGATCCATCTTCAAAATTAACTACCACACGAGTTAAGTTTTATGCTAATTTGTGCCATAAAAATTGTATGCCGAAATATGATAAACTAATTTTTATGTTTATATTACTCCTTAACGGCCGATAAGCACTAAAAAATTCGATGGAATGGATATTCCCCTAACAAAACAATTCACCACTCTGCAAGTTTTTACGTGATCGAATTTCTTTTGGGGTTATAAATAATGCACATGTTTGTTGTAAATCAGGCCGATTAACTGTGTATTAAAGTGTCTGTCAATGATGAATTTCAAATTTAGAGGATTTTTGTGATAAAAGATTACTTGGAATTTTTTTTGGTATAAAGAGAAAGTTAATGTCCCGTAAAGAAATACCTTCAAGCTTCCAAATTCTAATCACAAATATTTATAAATTACAGAGACGATTTCACCAAAAATACGGAAAAATGTTTAAAGAAAAACTAGGACCTGTTACCAACGTGTCCATTGCCGATCCAACTCTTGTAGAAGAACTCATTCGAAAGGAGGGAAAATATCCATTTCGACCCCCTTACGATTCATGGATTCTGTACAAGAAAATCCGAAATCAGAAAGCTGGCATCATGTCTGCGTAAGTTTTTATTTCTTCCTTGACCTAAAGATATATCATTTTTCTCTTCTTTGTTTTATTTTGTTGTTACTTTTTCCCCATCGTTTTCATTTGTCCTTTGTAGTGTTGGACCAGAGTGGCACAAAATGCGCCAGGCAATAAGTAAACTCACATTAAGGCCGAAAACGGTGCCAGAATATATAGATATCATGAATGACGTCTCAGAACTATTCGTGAACCGAGTGCGATATCTCCGAGACAACGAGGGATCTGTTCACAACCTCCCTTCAGAGCTCAATAAATGGGCGTTGGAAAGTAAGTATTGAGTGTTTAAATATGAACTTCTCAAAGTTCAGTTTGTGTCTTGAGTTGACCTTTCTTTGTACCATATCCAAAAGTATTTATAGCGTTTCATCACTTTTGCAGGTACTGCGGGCGTTATTTTGGATAAGAAACTAGGTTGCCTAGAAAACGATGTTGAGCCAAGAATAGCCGATTTCATCAATGCTATTGGAAACATGTTCTTGACAGGTCATCAATTGATGGTTTTTGCAGACGTTCACAAAAAACTCAACACCAAACCATGGAGAACTCACGTGAAATCCTGGGATACCATTTACTCAGTTGGTAAGTGTTGCTCCAAATGGTATCTAACTCTGCCATCAAAATGTCTGGTTATTTTTTCTTCAGAAAAGTATATGCTTATCTTTTATATCTTGTATTACATTGTATTTCAGCCACACAGTTGTTTGAAAACAAAATTGCAGAAATACAAAATGCTTTGAAGAACGGTGAATTGGAAAAAGAAAACGCTGTGGGTTTCTTGCAACACATGATTTCACATACAAAACTAAGCATGGACGAGATCCATGTCAATACAACTGAACTTCTACTAGCAGGAGTTGACACAGTAAGTTTTAGACTAAAGTCTTTTATACTTAATCAAAAAAAGTTCAATAATTTCTTAAAAGAGTTAGAATTATGACAAATTTTTGATTGATCTTTGACTGCGATGACATGTTATTTCACACTGCAAAGCAGGATTAAGCTCCTCTGAAAGGTACTTTATGGAAATTTACAAATTGATAGATCAAATTGATAGCTATTGGGTGGTCCTGATGGCTGACCTCTTTGTCATACTAAGTTTTTATTAAATGGTATCGAAAACTCGTTCACAGTACAGCTGTGGGCCTTGTTCAGCAAAATTAAGCAGGCACGCATTCCTGTACTATGCTGTGGTCGCGGAAGACCGCAGTCGATCTCCGAAGCTTTTGAACATTAGGAGAAACATTTTAATCAAGTGACATCTAGTTAATTCTTTTTATATAAGGTAGCAGTGCGGAAAAGATTACTGACAGCAGCACAATAGTTGCAGCAAAATTTATCTGCCAGTAAACTCAATAGCTAGGGAACTCTGTGGTCAATTGATACTGTAATTAGCAATTTAAGTGCTTAAACAGTCATTCAATATTTTTTTTATACACCACATGGACATGATTTTCATACCGTATCTTCTCACACATCTAATGAAAGTATATAGTATGTCAAAAACCTGTACTTTTTACACATATCAGTTGGCCTACTTTAACTGTTTTGCACATATTATCTAGGTTTCTTCTTTTTGTGCAGGTTTCAAAGGCCCTTGGTTTCAGCTTTTATCTTCTTGCAAAAAATCCAAATGCCCAGGCCAGATTGCAACACGAAGTCGATACAGTGTGCAAAGGAAAACCATGCACCTCTGAAAATCTCCAAAACATGCCATTTTTAAGGGCAGTTGTGAAAGAAAGCTTAAGGTGATTTTCACAACATTATTTTCACTTTGTTTAGTTAAAAAAAAATGAAGAGGTGGGGTTGGACTCAATAAATTTTTTATTTAAATTTAATTTTTGAATTGTTTTTATTCAGAATGTATCCTGTTATACCAATCAACGCCAGAGTAATGCAAGAAGACACAGTTATAAATGGGCACCTTATTCCCAAAAATGTAAGTTTAATTTACATATTAATAAGAATTTCTCCGAATATTTACTGTCGGTTTTGTATTCTTATCAGAATGATTTACCAAAAAACTAAATTATGACCTTCTTTTCTTGCAGACTTGTATTTTATTAAATGGGTATACCATGGGTTACAATGAAATGTATTTTCCGGAGCCAGAAAACTTCAAACCAGAACGATGGTTGAGAGATTCTGATAATAAACAGCATCCTTTTGCCATGCTGCCCTTCGGATTCGGCAACAGAATGTGTGCTGGTAGGTTGAAACTTTGGCATCATTGCTCTTTTGAGGAATCTGAATGAAAAATTAAAAAAAAATGACATAAAACATCGTGATTTCATTATTTTATTCATATTGTAATTTAGGTAGAAGAATCGCTGAACAAGAATTGTTCCTCACCTTGATAAAAGTAAGTATACGCATATTTTTTTTTTTTTCAGTTGAAATGTTTGAAAAAGATGAGTTTTTTAACAAGAAAGAAATAGGTATAATTTCAACAATACTAAGCAAAACTTTTATAATTTTTTTCAGACAGCACAGTCATTTTGGATGGAATCCACGGGAGAAGAACTTAAAACGACATTACGGACAGTTATCACTCCTGTCGACCAAATTCCTGTTCAATTTGTTGACCGATAAGTGGAAGAATCCGAACAAATTTGAACAAAAAACATCTTGTTCCAGTATCGAGGACACTTTCGAAATCCAGAAAGAAATCTAGTTCTTTTAAAGATTCACTAGTTTTCTTACCTTATCCCCCCTGAGGTGACAGTTCTAGCACACGTGACTGTAACGTGTTGATGTGATTACCAGACAGGAGTAATGTTTGAGCATGTCGTGGTCGGACTGTAAATAACCTCAAATGAGCAGACTTCAAGGGTGCTTCTTTTTTACGTGATAGACTCGGATCAGACGGGTACTGATGTGTTGTTTATGTTATGTTTCACGTGATCGTCTTCATTTACTTTTGAACAATGCAAAGTTCATCTGAGATCTCTCACAAATATTCATTATGTTGTCTTTATGACACTGTATCATTTCATGTACATTGTATGTAAATCTTCATTTATTTATTAGACGATTCTCTTCAAACGAGTCAGAGCTCCATTATAAAGATGTGACTTGATATTTTAAAAGACGATGTGAACATCAAGGTACCACATCTTTGTCAGTGTGATTTTTCTGAATTGAAGAATGAATTAAGCTGTTGTTCTCAAGGATTCGTTCGAAGAGAAAATTTGATTTGAGGTGCAATATTTATTTAGTCAGGTATATGGTGTTTAATGATATTGCATGAAAAGACATTCTTAATCATGATACGTTCTTGATATGTGCAATGAACAATTTCAATAACTTTATTTAAAAGAGCACATCATGCAGGAAGTCCCCCGGGACCTGATGACCTGACTCTTTAAGGGTGTGCCACTCTTTGAAGTCACTTTGTGTGAAGTTCACTCACTAACTGTTGTGCTGGACTTAAATGTATGTCTTCAAAGATTATTGGTGTCAGTTCGTCAAGACGTCGACGATTTTTATTCAAATGATAACTGTTTTAATTGTTAACCTTTATAAGTAATTTGACATGCATAATAATTTATGAAATGCAATTTATACCTCAATTCTATACGACACATCTTCTGTCATTGTTTAATAGAAATAAAAGTGAAAAAAACCTTATGCACAACTTATTTTTTGAAGTGGAGGATCACTCCAAAAATGAATTTGGAGGTTAAATGGTTTAATTAAGAGGTGCATTCCACATTAAAATTCATTTAATAATCTTTACTTATATTGTAAATTTAATGATTTTTAAGACAAAAATCATAAAAAGTGTTTAATTAAAAATTCCGTCAACCGTGTAAGACATGTCTTCTGTGTCATAGAAAACATATTAAAATGACACCTCCCTTTGAAAGAACATCGGAACCTCGCTTTGACAGTGTCATGGTAGGGTCGCTTATATTCACAGAGATATGTCAAAAACTCAGCCCATCAAATACCGTAAGTCATAGACATCATATTTCATGATTTCAGTAAAGTTCTTGGTCGACTTAAGTTTGGCTGCAAGTGGGTCGATTGTGAATTGAACATAAAAACATACAGTTTATTTTTACATTGAAATAGACGGCTATAAACCATTTTCTGGAGTATGTCGTTCATTAAGACCTATTGAAGATAGCTGACGACTGATATGATTTCTTCAAACTCCAGGTATATAATTCGCAGCAGGATTGCAAAACAATGTAAACGTTAACCTTGAATTATGTTGAAGTAGTTGTAAGATGTTCTGGCCAACGCATGTAGATCAGTGTATGTAAACACAGGGATTCAATAAAAGATAAGTATATGAGTAGTTGGTATTAGTAGGGCAAATTTATCGATTTATGAAATGGAATTGCCTAATTACCTTGCACTACCCACTGAGGTGAAAATTAACATTTACATTTTACGGGTCGCACGGTGCTTATCTGATATGGAAAAGGACCGTTGTACATGGTATCAGTTACAATGTACATGTATATATAAGGACTACGACACATATTAACATAAAAGGGGAACAAAATTGAAAACAATTTTAGAGATCAGGAAAAACAGCAAATTTTATAAGAGTATCATCTAATCCCTAATTTGGCATGGGATATTCAGATGTTGACGAGGGGAAAGAGTATTATGTCTTACTTATTCCGAGATAAGATTGAATAATAATACTAATAATCTGGCGTCGATGCAGTAAATTTCCTCTGAAATATTCGCATATTCAATTTGATGTTCAGTATTTTTATGCCATAATAATCTTTGATAGGAATCTTTTTATTTTACTTATAAGACATATTTGGGGAATATCTACCATAATTTTTTTTTTTTTTTCCCAGCATACAAAAATGTAATCTAATGGATGTGAAAAAGGTATTCAAATTTTTTATATGTAACGCATGACCAACAGAGGAGCTAATTGTTATGGCTTAGCAAAAAATCACGTTGAGACAGGTAAATATAAGAAATTATAGTTAAAAGTAACTCTAGAGCTTTATAGAAAAGATTGTGAAATATCTCACTGGAATAAGTAGGTTAGAAGCCTTTTATCTTTGAGAGAAAATAGAGCAGTTTACTTTATCAAATTGTTCAACGTTGAATAATAGATAAAAAACAAACAGTAGCCGTTTGTTTCAAAATTTTTTTTTTTTTTCATGAAAAACCTATGAATGTATTTCCGTGATTTAATTTTTTTGCATACTTAACTGTTAGATGTCGATGTGCAAGTATTTTCCTATCCAATCATTTTTGTATAAATCTATCTCTTCATATTTTTGATTACACAATTCTTCCCATTCTTTTGTATGGTAGTGAAATTTGAGGACTTTTAACCCCTTTGCTACAAAATTTAGAAAACATCAAAGTGTAAATAGCATTTTGAAAACTTATTATGATAATAACAATGAAGATATTAGACATCTCTTTTTTTAAAATGTGATTTGTAAAAGTTGTGTGACACAACTTGAATACTGTTTTGAACTATGCTGTTCAATGGAAACATATTATTATAGGATTTTAGCTGGAAATAAATTCAAAAGTACACATTTAGCGTGTAAAATATATCAATTAAATGACATATAGAATACAAAATAATTTACAAGAAAGGTAAATGCTACAACATTTTATCAAAAAATCTTCATACAAGGATATGGATTTCAAGTTAATTTTTCAAATATCAAATTTTACAATTAAAGAAACTCTAAAACGCCTTATATAATTGTTATAAAATTGTAAATGTTTTGCTTTATTTTAGTTTATTGCTGATTATCATAAACTGGTCATTGTAAATTCATTGTAAATGGGTACTGTTTAGAACTTTGACATGAAAGATGGAAAAAAAAAATCTTCAAAGGCAACATATGTGCAAAAACTTAAGTGAACATGAACATGTTGCTCTTAGATCATGTTTTCTCACTGGGAGGAAACAGGAAATTTTGAATTTAAAGCTTCGAACATATTCAAATTTCAAAAGTTATTTCCAAGGCGAAAATTATTTTTATCACTTATCGAAAATCATTTTTATAAAAGAAGTTTCACTAGTTTTGGATTTTCCTGACAAAAGTTACTTATTGTTATTGGTAGATATAAATATATACCCATTCATCTTTGAATAGTCCACACTGTAACTCATGTGATGTTGGTTCTGCATTTTCTATTGTGTTGTGATAAATTTAATGTAGAAAGACAAGAAATGTTTCAATTAATCGAAGAAGAATGTACGAAATCATAGTTTACAACAGTTGGACAAATTTATATGATTGAGGAAAAAACCCTAGAGTTGTAATTTCTGTCTCTAAATCCATCCACTTTCACTGTGAATAGTTTATGTATTTAGCGTCTTTTTTCACCTATATGTAATTGTATAAAACTATAAATATTCTTGAGCCCCATCTTCTGGTACAAGAAGGAACAGTTTTGATTATATATAAATTTGTGTGAGAAATATGAACAGTTTGGTAATTTTTCAGTTGTCCCTTTTGAATTGTCCCTTGGTACCTTCATCAATTTACGAAATTATAACTCATTATGGTGTCATATCCCTGCCCCATACTTGCAAGATACATTGTGTAAGCATACAAGGAAAGTATATCCACATGCAAGATAGTAAGTTGATATGCAAGTTACCCCCCCCCCCCCTTTTATGGAGAATTTGATTTTAATATAAGTAATTTTACATACTAACACTGGTATCGGACATCATAAATGCAAGGTGCGAGAAATATATGTTGACATGCAATTTCTTTAATGTCGACATTCAAGTTAATTGTGTCGACATGTAACATAATTATGTTGTTATGATTTTCATATATGTCGACATGTGAGATAATTATGTCGACATGCAATATAATTATGTCGACATACGACGTATTATGTTGATATGCAAGTTCATTTGTAAACATGCGAGTTAATCATGTCGACATGCCAAATAATTATGTTGACATGCGACTTATATGAACACGCAACATAATAATGTTAACATTATACTACTTATTTATGTTGACATGCGACATATGTTGCATGTAAGTACATATGTATAATTATGTATCCAGCAGTTGACATAAATAAGTTGCATGTCAACATAATTATCTCGCAATTCAATATAAGTCGCATATCAACATGATTAACACGCATGTTGACATAAATAAGTGGCATTTCAACATAATTATGTTACATAATTTCAAACTGTCAAGTCAACATAAATATTTTGCATCTTGCATCAAAATGTCGGATCCTAGACAGTTGGTAGTAATTAAATTCTCCATATTAAAATCAGATATTCTCTTAAAAGATAAGTAACTTGCATGCTCACATAATCTTGTATGAAATCATAATTATCTTGATGCTGAAATACTTTTTGTCGCATATTGACATCATTTATCTTGCATATAGGTGGGGAAATATGCCATCAAACTTCATGGTTTGATGTTTTGCACTATGCCGTGACGGGCTCATGATTTTACAAAAAATCATATGTACCGTTTGTAATCTATTGTTTATATATCAAATTTAGGTAAAGATATGTGTGTTCTAATAAATAATTTATTCTTTTTTGATTGCGTTCATTTCATGTATTAAAACAACATGTTTTTAGGTTGCATATACATTGTGTATACTATTCATAGTTTTGAATGCAACAAAATTTGACATTAAAGCAGTCTTCTACTGAATAATTTTTTCACATTTATTTTTGAGCGCTGAAAGATAATCCCTGAATATGAAGATGGATATTAGGCTACAGAAGATATTCCATGGCCATCTCAAACGTTACAGTGGTTTGCTGAACCGTGAAGCGTAATTTAACATGATACCGTAATTTTATTCTTTGATTTAAAAATATATATCCTCAAATCCTGAAATCAACGTAACTGTTCATTTATATGCCATATTAAAAACTTAGAAGTCGCTTGCGTGGTCAAAGCGTTAAACTTTGCTCTAGAGTAGCGGAGTAAGGAATTCATTTTATGTCGCGGGTTTGAATCCCATTACGAGACTTGGAGACTGGTCCTTCGGATGAGACCGTTTAAACCGGGGTCCCGTGTCGCAGTACGTGCTGACACGAAAAGGCTGTAAGTGCCGAGTACAGATATTTTGCAGCCCTCCACCGGCAAGTGGTTGCGTCTCAATA